ACTAACCGCTTGAGCTATGGCGCGGCCGCATTTTAAGCCTCACTTACTTATGGAGCTGAGCCCTTCTTGAGGAGAGGCCAAATCTGCAGCTACTCACTAATTTCCCAGCATTTTATGGAATCCGAAGGTTCATTACCGTGTTCAAAAGAGCCCTCCACTGGTCCCTATCCTGAGCCAGATCAATCTAATCCATACCATCCCATCTCTCTAGGATTCATTTTAATATGTTGCACCCACCTACGCCTTTGTCTTCTCAGTGGTCTCTTTCCTTCTTGCTTTCCCACCAATATCCTATATGCATTCCTCTTCTCCCCCATTCGTGCTACATGCCCTGCCCACCTCATCCTCCATGACTTTATCATTCTAATTATACTTCGAGAAGAGTACAAGTTATGAAGCTCCTCATTACGCAGTTTTCTCCAGCCTCCTGTCACTTCATCCCTCTTCGGTCCAAATATTCTCCTTAGCGCCCTGTTCTCAAACACCCTCAGTCTATGTTCTTCCCTTAATGTTAGAGACCAAGTTTTACACCAATACAGAACCGCCGGCAAAATTATAGTTTTGTATATTCTAATTTTTATGTTTTTGGACAGCAAACAAGAAGACTAAAAGTTCTGGACTGAATGGTATGTAAAAATAAATACACGCTTTACAGTTCAGTAATGGAAATGCGTAAATCACAACACCTGAGGATGGCCCCAAGGGTCGAAACAATTAGTGGATCGTAAGTTTTCTTTTATTGCTAGTGGGGTGGGACTAAGTCCCTTGTACTGCGGCCACTTCTGGCCTATTGTACCAGCACCAGATGATAGGTGAAGGTGATTGTGGAGCGATTGGTGGAAAGAAGATTGGCAGGGGAAACCGAAGTACTCGGAGAAAACCTGCCCCAGCGCCACTTTGTCCACCACAAATCCCACTTGAACAGACCCGGGATTAAACCCGGGCCGTCAAGGTGGGAAGCCAGCGACTAACCGCTTGAGCTATGGCGCGGCCCGGAACATAGTTGCGTTGACGGTGGAATTTGTATTATTAGTTTATGTACACCTACTGTAGGAGGTGCGTCACTTATTATGGACTGGTACGTGTATAATTGAGCGTTCCGCATGAGGAACTGTATATCCCAATTCGTAACACTGCCTGCTCTTAGCACATCACCGCTAAAACGCCCCTTACTTCAAAGCTTACGTAAATGACGGCCCGTGACGTCATACTTATCCTGAATACATTTATTTGCTTCTTAATGGAACGCCGTCGAGTTCCTACGTGCCTTCACGAGTTTAAGGAAAATAGATATGGGTTTCGAAAATGCACGTCTTTCCGTTCGAAATTGCTTACACTGACTTCTTGAACAGTGTCTCTTGGCGCAGTTGACGTCGCGAAGTGGAGAAAGTTGAGAGGAGCGGCGACTGGTGAGATGTTTAGACCGCCTCTGTGGTTTAGTGGTCAGAGTTCCTGGCTGCAGATCGATTCCCGGCGCTACCACATTTTCTGAGAAGTAGTGGGTCTGGAACGGGGTCCACTCAGCCTCGTGAGGATAATTGAGGAGCTATTTCAAGGAAATAGCGGCTCTGGTCTAGAAAAGCGAGATTAACGGCCGTGGGGATTCTTTGCGCTGACCTCGCGACACCCTCTATCCGCTAAAGTTGGCACCAACTTCGCCGACAAGCGGCGGTCACTCGATCGGTATAGTTCACTTGCGGACTACAGGCAACGGAGTATATTTTTGTATGTGTAAAGGTGGGCCATAGTAATTTGGCCCATGCACCGCGACCATCACTGATCTATTGTGCTTCTCCTTTGGTTAATCCTTTATTAATCCTACCCTTCAGATGAAATGTAGTGCCCTATTTATGGGGGCGTCATAATAGTCTGGCCCAGGTGACGAAATCTTAAATAAGCTATGGCCTCACAGTCACATAGGATATGTGTGGCTGATTGAACCTCTCCTATGCACCTTTCACATGTGGGATCATCTGTCAATTCCAGTGTGAAAACGTATCCTTTAAGGTGACAGTCCTATCACCCATCTTAATTGGTCTCGACACAACAAACAAACGAGACTTCCGTTAAATTCTCGTGGAGTCTTGCACAGATTCGTTATATCGTCATGTGGTTTCTCTGTGAAATATTATTAGCCATATGCTTGAAGGAAAATATGGTTCTTCTTGTGGGCCTGAAAGTATAATGTCTTATAGAAGTTTTGTTCAGGAGTCTTCCCATCCCCTCTCGTTTTGTGTCCTCTTTTTGTAACTTTTCTTCTCATAATCATAAATGTAAACACTGGATTATGCAACTTGTCCGAATTGGAAAGTACTAACAATTTCACAACTTCTGAAGTGTTTGATGTTTTTATTTTGCAGTGTAGCCGGTTTCTGGAAGAGCCGTGTTGAGGAGAGCGAACAGACTCCGTGGCCAGCTACTTCATTCATTTCGGCAACACATGAAGATGAACAACGCCAAAAAGAACAAAATGGAGAGACTGAATATCCTAAAATGGCCTCTGTTCTGCCTTCACCTCCAGCATTCACGCGAGGCTCCCATAGACGATACATGAATCATCTGATTCGGTCAAATTCAAGCGAGAAACTCGACGTTAATTCCCACGTAAAATCGGAAGATGCTTCCTTAACGGAGGGTAGTTTTGTAGAAGCCGGAGATAACATTTGTTCGACAAATCGCAACACTGCAACTGCAGGGAGAACAACCAACGATCATAGCTCAAAATTTCACAAGGTAGATTCACTAGCAGAGAAACAGTCGGTAACTACCGTTCCTGGTGTTGATAATAAAAACTACGTCGTAAGTAATAGAAATGTTAATTCAAGAGCTGGCCGCCTGAAGTCGCTGGTATCGTTATGTTCACGAACTGCCAGCGATATGAGGGGGCCCATGTTGCCTTCAACAAACGGTGTTGAAGCAGATGGTGGGGTGGTTGTTGACAATGAGGGTGACGCCCCTTCCTCCTCCTCTTTCCTCTCCTTCACACACCCTTTATCGTTAAGGGACATAACATGCCAGTGTGATGTGGAAGCCGAAGAAAGTCCGTCAACAGGCGAAAAATGTAACACAAAGAAAGGTACGAAGGGAAGGCAGAGGAAGACGGGTGCAATAACGGGAGGCTGGACCCAGTCAGCAGGAGCTGTACAGGATATAGCAGCACACGCGCCAGCGGTGTTGCGTTTCCCTTGTGTAGAGAAACTGATTCACAAGTATACAGTTATGATTGCGGAACAGAGGACACGTGCGCTAGCAGAGAAACAAGTTGAAAACCAGTCCAGGAGGAAACAAAAGCAAGGTAATATAGAAAATCATTCTTCTAACCAGAGTCAGGAGTTTTCTAGCAATTCTGCGAAACAGCAAAAGCATAATTCCGAACTTGCAAAACCGTCAACGAAACATTCACACGAAAAAGCCATACGAGGGCAAGTAACAACAGAAAGCAGTGACTTTTGCCAGTGTTCACAGGAACATGTGCAGTTTATTATCGATCGTGTGGGCGATTCGACTAGACAGATTGATGATCGTGAAGTATTTGCAGAACATTCGACGAAATATGTGCAACAATACCATGGTGAAACTATGGACTCGTCTGCGGGACTACAGGAACAAAGGGGAAATAAAAATACCACAAAACTGCATACACAACTTCCGTTGCAATGTGAGTGTGATAATGGTAAGATAGAACATACGACAAGCCATTTACGACATAGCCATACCCAAAATTACGTGAGTGGGTCTCAGGAACAAGGCGAATATCACGGAAATCATTCAAGAGATTGGATGGAACTTCGCGGGCAGTGTCACGTGCGTAATCGTCTTACTGATCATGATCCGAAAATGCATTCCCAACCAGAAATAAATGACGATTGTATAAATGTTACTCAGTCACAACATTGGAACGATGCTGCAGGACAAGAAGCCAGTCATCTGCGACAGGTGTGTCAAGAAAACAATAAAGAAGAGACTGATATACTCCAGCAAGCGACCGAATCACTGACCTCACTGTTTATCAAGCCATCAAGTGACGTCACACCGAACGTTAGTCACGTAGGTGGCAGTGCAGCATCTGCCAGAGGAGAGGAAGGTCGTCATAGTTTAATGTTGCCACGCGCTTCAAAGCGATCGGTGAGCCCCGGCTCAGATGAAGGCTGTTCAGTAGCGCTTCCACCTGAATGTAGCCTGACTCCTTGTAGCAGTGAGGATGATATCGTGAAGAGACTGGTGGAAAAATCAACAGCCAGATGGACCTGGCCACCTGTGAATAATGACCAAGATACTGAGTTACAGGGACCAGGCCGCAGACAAGAATATGGACGATACGGAAGCTCAGATTCAGCTGTCTGTCTGTTGCCAAGCGACGATGAAAGGAAGCTTCAAATGAAGGATCCCGGAATTTCTTTACATCAGACAAGTACTGATTATAGCAATATTACAGAGTTTGTAACTTCTGAAGAGAAATCTTCTGACAAAGCTATGGTGTTTGATCGATACGTGGACAAAGCATCGGATGTGTCGTTTGATTTGGTTAATTTGCAGTATATATGGAGGCATGGGCCATCTTCGAAGGAGTCTGATATATTTCCTGATGAAGTCAGTAGACGAAACAGTGGCGATAATGACGATGCTTGGTTTGAGGAAATACGGGATAATGCAAAGGAAGCAGCGTGCGATGATATCTGTGACAGTGGCATAGACAGGGATACCTTCCTCCTCGGTAGTACTGGGGAATCGTGTTGGGACTTCGGTTCTGTGGAAGGAAAGACTGATCTAGTCGATAGCAGATATCAGATAGATACATCTCCTGCTAGTGATGGATACTCCTGCAGTTACAGGCAGAAACAGATTAGGAAACTGAGGAGTATGATAAGCTGTGAAAGTGGAGTGGTCGAAGATGAAGATTGCAGTAGAAAAAGCAGCACAGCTGAAGATGTTGAGAATGATGACGGGTATCTCGTGGAACTTCGACGTCAGTCTGCACAGAGTTTCCAAACAGATGACGACGAATCGAGTGCGACTTCACAGTATCGACAATGGAGGACTCCCTCAGTGGTAGTGAGTGATTATTCGGATGATGTCCCGTACTTTACGTCAGTGACCCTTGAAGAGCTGGAGCAACTTGAGGACGCGTCGGCCTCGGAATGTGCAAGCGGCGCGAGTTCTGTGAGTGGTAGCGTAGGTGTCAGTGCTCTGGATACGGAGTACGCCCTCAGGACCCCAGAGAGGAAAGCGTCGGACTGCAGTACTTGTAGCACTCTGAGCGGAGACGAAGATGCCAGCTGTGACGCCCTCCTGCAGCCTGTTAGGACCAGACAAAAGGTAGGGCACCAAGTTCATCTGTTATCTCTGTATTTCGTTGTCCCCCCCACGATTTTGATGTGGCAATTGTGAGCAAAGTAATGTACAGCTAAGTCATCTAAGCAAGAAATTTTGAAAAAAACAAAAACAAACAAACAAACACACGTAATGATTTTTAGTCTCTCTCAGGTTCTTCATCGTATGTCTTGAGGAAACTCTCTCTCTGTGCTACAAAATAGTAATGATGTTGTGTGAGGTTTTGGTAACACTGTGCGCCGATAGGGCGCTGCACGCAGTGCTCCCAGGTAGTATTAATTAGATCGGCATGTGGCTCTGTCGTTATTTTCGTGAAAAATGTTTTTTTCATATCCACATTTTGCATTTTCTTTTTTTCATTGTTGGTTGTTATGATTGGATTGTGAGTAGGTGGAGCCCCTAGTGAATTAATAGGTGTACAGTTAATTGTCGAGCCGGGATAGCTCAGTCGGTATAGCGACTGACTACGGGCTGGACGACCGAGGGGTCAGAGTTCGAGTCCCGATAGGGTCAAGAATTTTCTCGTCTCCGTGTCGTCCAGATAGGCTTTGGGGCCTACCGAACCTCCTATCCAATGGGTACCGGGGGTGTTTTCCCGGGGGGTAAAACGGCCTGGGCGTGAAGATGACCACTTACGTCCAGCTATTACCGAGGTCAAGAAAATATAGATCTATACATCCACCCCCTATACGCCTTCATGGCGTAGTGCTTAATTAGTTAAGTACAGAGACAACTTTACCTTACAGATAATTGTCTATTAACGTGTATGGACCCCGTTGGGTAAGATTTCTGATACCGATACCCAAAATGCCGGATAAACCCTCAGAATTTCGAACGGTCCCATTGTTTGATGTTATGTATCTATGTACAGAATTTCTGTTCTCCACAGTTATGGGTCTTGAAGTGAATGAAAGTCACACATTGTGACGCTAGTGCCAAAGGGTTTCGTGTCTTAATAAATGAACACGCATAGGCTAGCGCAGGAGAGTCATATAGGCCCTGTCACGTTTCATCTTTACGTTATATAAACCGTGCAGCTGAAACGCGATGTTAAAACCGTCGAGTTTCATCTAAACCCGTCAGATGTCTCAGACCCGTGAGTAAATTACGTAATCCTTGAAACTAATTAAGGTGGATGAATAATAAACAGGGCAGTTAATGCTCGTAATAACTTTTTTTTTTCTTGGCACTACAGCCCCAGTGGGCCTAACCCCACCTCCATGAACTTCTCCGTTTACTTCGGTTTTTCTAGATCTTACACATTCGGTAGGACTCCTTGGGCGGGTGATCAGCTCGTCGCAAGGCCTCTACCTGTACACAAACACAGAAAAACGCACACACACACACTAAACATCCATGCCCTGAGTGAGATTCAAATCCAAGCGAGCGAAGACAGTACATGCCCGTAATAACTTACAGACCCAAAATGTCAGTCACATACTCAGACAAATATTAATAGTTCCTCTAAGCTCCTCAGCTAAAGTTGCTGTTTAAGTGAAACCAAACCAAAATCGAAATGTTTCGGGCGAGCCTTATAAAACAGAGTCTGAACGTCCTTATTTTTGGCGCTGTTGCGAGGGGACAAGGTGACTTGAAGAATTTATTATTATTATATTCGTTTAGCTGTACTTGGTCTCTGACATTAAGGGAGGAACATAGACTGAGGGTGTTTGAGAACAGGGCGCTAAGGAGAATATTTGGACCGAAGAGGGATGAAGTGACAGGAGGTTGGAGAGAACTGCATAATGAGGAGCTTCATAACTCGTACTCTTCTCCAATTATAATTAGAATGATTAAGTCAAGGAGGATGAGATGGGCAGGGCATGTAGCAGGAATGGGGGAGACGAATGCATATAGGATATTGGTGGGAAAGCCAGAAGGAAAGAGACCACAATGAAGACCAAGGCGTAGGTGGGTGGACAATATTAAAATGGATCTTAGAGACATAGGATGGGATGGATTGGATTGATCTGGCTCAGGATAGGGACCAGTGGAGGGCTCTTGTGAACACGGTAATGAACCTTTGGGTTCCATAAAATGCTGGGAAATTCTTGAGTAGCTGCAGATTTTGCTTCTCCTCAAGAAGGGCTCAGCTCCATGAGTAAGTAAGTAAGTAAGTAAGTAATATGCGTTTAGCTGTATTGTTAGGCCTATACATTGTTGTCCCATACCTCATTTTCTCTTGTAGTAACGGCATGTGATCTGATAAAGTTTTCCTTTTACGTACATATCGATCATCGATTTAAAAACGTATTCCAAACATAATCTGCTTTTGTCAGTGGGCTTGGTTGCTTGTTACATTAATTTATCATACCGTGGCAGACGTTTGCTGATGACGGTGTCCGCGCGGTCTAAGGCATGAACCGTCTTCGCTCGTTCGAATACTGGGGTCGTGAGTTCGAATCCCACTGAGGCATGGATGTCTGTGTGCGTTTTTGTTCTGTGTTTGTGCTGTCCTGTGTAGGTAGAGGCCTTGCGACGGGCTGATCCCCATCCAAGGAGTCCTACCAACTGTGTAAAAGATCTAGAAACTGGAAAAGACAGACTCATAGATTGATAGACAGACAGACGTTATCATTTATCCTCCCCCATTCTTCCGCGTAGCCCGGGATAGCGCAGTCGGTATGGCGACAGGCTACGGGCTGGACGACCGAGGGATCGGAGTTCGAGTTCCGGTACGGTCAAGAATTTTCTCGACATAGTCCAGACCGGCTCTGGGGCTCACCCAGCCTCCTATCCAATGGGTACCGGAGGCTCTTTCCACAGGAGGAGTAAAGCGGCCGGGGCGTGAAGCTTACCATTCACCTCCCAGGTGTTGCCGCTTTGAAGAAAACGTGGATCTATACATCCACTCCCCCATACGTCTTCATGGCGTGGTGCTTAATTAGTTAATTACAAGGACCTTATCTTTGTTATTATTATTATCACCACCACCACCTACTAAGTTAAAACTTTGATTTTTGTTATTATTACTGTTTTGTTATCATCATTATTACCCAGACGTTATACGTAAATTTCCTTGTTTTGTACTTTGTGTGTTTTTTCTTTCACTCGTGCCCCCTTTGTAATTGGCCCCTTGGGCTGTTGAGCGAGCACTCAGATAAATAAAAATTGAATTGAATTATAATTCATCTGCAAGGGTTGAGCTCGTCAGTGCGTTCCGTCCTCACGCCCCGGCAATTCAGTCTTTGAGGATTAACTCTGTTTTTGCTGGAGCAGGTTACCTGTCTGGCGAGCTCGTCTTGGAGGACGAGGGTTTTTATTCAGTTTCCTTCCTATAGACAGGCTGTCTACCTTGGCTAACGAGTCCTGTCTTTTCGCCATGTAACCCTTACCAGGTGCTACCCAGTGGAATCCGGAGCCCTCATAAGGCAGGGTCGCCACTCCTTGTAGTTGTGCTGTGACTTATGGGAGTTCAACCTTGCTAGCTCCATCATTACTATTGTAAGATATTATCAAGTTAGGGACGGTCTTTGTGTTTGTAATTTTAATTATGGACGGTATTTTATACATCATTTCTAAAAATACTTATAACCTCACTTCATAGAAAATGTCATGTTTAGAATAGGATTGCATATAGGATTTTGGTGGGAAAGCCAGAAAGAAAGAGGCCACTAGGAAAACCCAGACGTAGGCGGGAGAATAATATTAAAACTGATCTTAGAGAGATGGAATGGGGTTGTATGGATTGGATTCATGTGTTTCAGGATAGGGACCAGTGGAGGGCTCTTGTGAACGCTGTGATGAACCTTCGGCTTCAATAAAAGTTGGGAATTTATTGTGGAGCTGAACAACTGGAGGCTTCTCAAGAAGGACTAAGCTCTATGGACTTAGTTACTAGCTCCAGCGATCCATTGAGTGTAGTTGTGAAACAGAGTCGAAAGTTTTGCAAGGCTCCCATGTAGCTCCACGGAGTCAAAAGAATTAACCTAACATCACATACACGTGGTGCTATCCAGAAGTTCCCGAAATATATTAATACGAGTAAAAACTATTACGACTTACCTGGATCTTATTCTGCACCATCACCTTCAAAGTAGTCCCCTTGGGAGCGCATGCACCTCTCTCAGCGTTTCTGCCGCTTTTCAAATGCATCCTGGAAGTCTTTCCTTGTTAGGGTGTTTAGTACCGTCTGCGTTTCCGCTTGAATTTCCTCAACTGTATCAAATCTTCGCCTCTTCAACTTGATTTTCATCTTGGGGAAGAGAAAGAAGTCGCATGGAGCTAATTCTGGCGAGTACGGTGGGTGGGGAACAACTGCCATCTTGTTTTTAGCCAAAAATTCCTGTACAGTGTAAGCCGTATGCGGTCGTGCGTTGTCATGGTGGAGTACCCAGTCGTTCGTGCACCACTTCTCTGGACGTTTTCTCCTCATGTTTTCCCTCAAACGCCTTAGAACATCGCGATAGAACTCTTTATTGACTGTTTGACCAGGGGGGCGAACTCCTTGTGAACAATCCCGTCAATATAAAAAACACAGATCAACGTGGACTTAATGTTGCTCTTGACTTGTCGAGCTTTTTTTTTGGCCGAGGTGAAGAAGGGCTCTTCCATTGCGACGATTGCTGCTTGCTTTCAGGGTCGTAGCCATAAACCCAATTTCCGTCACCAGTGACAACCATCGAAAGAAAGTTTGGATCCTCTTGAAGCTGTTGCTGAAGTTCCCTGCAGACTACCAAGCGATGCTGCTTCTGTTCATTTTGCTGCAGTCGTGGCACAAACTTTGCCGCAGTCCTCCTCATGTTCAGTTCCTCTGACAAAATTCGTTGACGTGTACCATAATTTAGTCCCAAGGTGTTACAGAGGTCTTGGATGGTCAGTCTACGATCTTGCAGAATCAGATCCCTAACTTTCNTCAGCCATCGCAAAACCGCAAACTCACGGAAACACAAAAATGGAAATACGTTCACCAACAATAAACCCAATCACTCAACTCGACACCGCTTGCCACTGATTCAAGAAGGGTGTGTGGGGAGACACCTAGC